CTCGTGGTGCCCGGCTCTATTTCTCCTGGAATATCATTGCCTCTGAGGAGACCTAATACTTGCTTACATCCTCTTTGAACAAATTTTGCCAACAGATTTTCCACCGTTGAACCAACTAACACGCGACATTGTAAGATTTTCAAGCTCAGAGCGCACACTTTTATTAGGCAATAGTTTTTATCATTTCGGGCAGTTGGCGTGTGGGATGACAGTTGTGCACGCTGCATCTAATACCCAGTTCAAGGCACTTTTAGACGCCTTTTTAGTTGAGTCGTTGCGCTGGCAAGATTACTGCTTCGCGCTGAGAACCTAAAGAGCAGTGCTACACCTTTTTTTGCCTGAGTCTTTCAGGTGAACAGTGTTGCGCACTCGAATGATTGTGCCAGAAACAGAGAACGAGGATTGCCGAAGGATTGGATGGAAGTTCGACTGGTTGCCACACCCCTGTCGTGAAGAAACGTTTGTACTTCACCTGACATGAAAGCTTCACCACAATCAGAATGGACGTATGAGGGCATTCCGAATAAAGAGAACAACTGATTAAAACACTTGATCACGGGGGATGAGGACACATCCGTACACGCGAAGGCGAATGGGAAGCGGGAGTACTCGTCGTTCATTGTCAGAAGAAGCAAGATAAGGACGTGCTTGCAATCGTGTCATTAGAGTCCGTCTGAGAGATAAGTGCATCACGAATTGAAGTAAAAGGTTTATCAGTTTTGATAGATGCGGCTCCACAGAGAACATGAGAAGGCGAGTCATATGAGGGTGACTGTTGTTGAGCATGTCCAAGCAGACGTGACTCGTCAAAAACTTGTTGAAGCCTAAGAGTGCGTTTTTCTGGTAGTCGTTGGCGAACGGAATTAGACCGCAAGCCTGTGATAAAAGCGTCTCGAATAGCCTCATCCCGATGTTCATCGGCAGAAACCACACGAAAATTGCAGTCCTTGGCAAGGTAACGTAATTTTTGCAGGAACGCGTCGAATAATTGGCCCGGTTCTTGTTTGGTAGTAGCCAGCATGTGGCGGGAAAACACTTCATTTTTGGGTTTAATGTACATCTTTTCGAGCGTCTGGATGGCGTCTTCGTAAGTAGTACAATCACAAACATGTTGATAGACGGACGGAGAAAGGAAATTTACCAAAAGTTTTCTTTTGTCAACGTTTGGGAGTTCGATGCATGAGAGGAAGTTCGTAAACGTCTCGTGCCAATGGATCCATTGTTCTGAAGCAGAAGAGGATTGGGGGTCGGCGTCAAACCGATCTGGGCGAAACAATCGTTCCATTGTATTTTGATAGAAGACCAAATTGTTGCGCACTCGGATGATTGTGCCAGAAACAGAGAACGAAGATTGCCGAATGATTGGCTTTAATCTTCTATCAATTTCAGTCAGCCAGCCAAAACATTAGGAAACACAGTTAGCTCAACGAATAGCGAGTAAAAAGTTAAACACAACGTCAGCCGCTAGATGATAAGAACAAAGCAAGCCCGGGAAGCTTAGATGAGCGCTTCGATCCTGTGTATCGATCCGTGAATCCGTGCCGCATTACGTTGACAATGGAGATCAACTTTACTGATTGTATGCTGACCCTCGTTTGTTTTTGCTCAGTGCAAGCTTCAAACACATGCGTTCGAATCTCGTTGCATTGAGATCAGCAGCTGCAAACCACTTATTGACTCAGTTGGAAAATGTGGTAGCTAACATTCGGTGGAGAGTTTTAGTTTATTGTTTCCTCTGGAGCTAGATAGGGTGGGGGCGAGATGTACCAAGTGATTAGAGCGCGAATTTACTTACGGAAGGTCCGTGGTTCGAACCCGACCTCTGCCTCTCGACTTCCCATGTCTAGGCTTGAGCGACCTGACAGTATCCCATCCCTCGTGCCTCATTCATGTGGCGTGGCAGCTAGGTACCGAAAGGGTGCTACATCTGAACGATTTTTCTTCTGGAGCACATAGCTTGACCGGACGATGGCACTATATGTGCTCATATCAGTCCGGTTCCCTGCTGCAGCACTCCTGTTGAAGCAGACGGCTTCTGTATTTAAACGACGTCTCGCTAGGTTAACTCAAGGCTTTCAGGAATAAATGAAGTGGTAATAGCAATGGCAATATGAATGGCGATTGGTAGTTGGTGGAAAATCCGTGTCCACGGCTTTTGAGCGGATCTGTTCCGGGATAGTCCGCCCAACCCTTTGAACACCAGACACAAGCACGATCAGCAGCTGTTATTGACGTCATGGAAACTACCGGTGACAAACGACAATGATGGTGCACGCAGATCCCTCAAAGGCTAAGCAGTGGCGAGCCCAGGGGTATCGATGTTCCGGCCGATGGTTCGAGCTTTCGTAGCGGAAACTAGCCGCACTCTGCTTCCACTACTCCAATCAACCAGTTCAAGGAGGGTGCGTGCTAGTGGAGCTCCACAGAGAGGAGAGGATATCAATTCCCTCACAGAAGCCTCGTCTTAAAGGATGGGATGAGAACTTTGAGGAAATTTTCAACGGGCTACCATGAATTCAACTTCTTGAGGAACCATATGAACTTGAATGAAGCGCTAATACCAGCCCCCTATCGGCGAGAAAAATCCAGTGCAGATTGTTTGCTACTTAGGTGCAAAACCCTCTTAATGCCTAAGTGTGGTCGGGGCTATGCTCTCAACGACCTGCCACTATATAGCCTCTGCCTCGGAAGTCCTGTTCACAGCTTTCTCGTGGCAGGGATTTCGTCACCAAATAGGAGGTAGCGAAAACCCGCGCTACAACGGGTTTATTGGTTATCTAAGGGAGTCTGCTAAATTCTGATTTCAAACCGGCAATGGTGGAAATATACAGTCGCCTCAGGTGGATTGGGTAAATGAGGTCAGCTCTGGTTCAACAGTCAAGGCATCTACCTTATTTGACAGCTCTCCTCATGCTGCTATCTTGGATTTCAAACTTGGGTGTGCAAGGCCAAGGAGTGCACCATGGAACAGCAGTCGGGTAGCTCAGGGGACTCCACCCGTAATAAAATCCTGATGATTTCATGGTGTTTCTCTCGTCAGCGGTTCGCTTGGATTCGTCGTTAAGTAGTGCATCTTATGCTGTCCCAGTGGTCGGGGTGGCCAGTAAACAAGAGAGAAACTCAGTATCAGAAAGCTCGTTTGTTTCGGACGTTGGGATGCAGCAAACCTCTTAGACGTTGGAACTCAAGCCATTAACACGCGTAACCTGTTTCTCCGGAGTCCATCACGAACAGACTGCACCTTACTGCATGATGGTTTATGCACCTCCAAAACCCATGGAACTATACTGGGGAGTGTACTTACGACGCTTGCAGAGCCCAATACCATGTCCGTAAATGGGTGTAGGTGCTTGACCGACGGTCTACCGGTCCTCCAGGTTGGGGGTTAGAATATTTGGTTACTTGTTCCTTAAAAATGTAGGTTGCGCTGCTCGCTACCTTGCAGTTAGGCTTTTGAGCCAAAGGTCTTGGTTAAGCATCCTCATCGTCCTTTTTTATTTTTTTTATTTTTTATCGTTCAGCTGTAACAGCCTTCCGGTGCTTATATGCCATGCCACCCGAAGGAAGCACGATGGCTGGGGTACAGCCAGGTTGCCTAAGCCTAGTCAGGGAAAGTTGAGAGGCAGAGGTCGGGTTCGAACCACGGATCTTCCGGTTAGTAAATTCGCATTCCAACCACTTGAGCCATGTCGCTCTTTCATCGTCCTATCTAGGTAGTGATGCCCTGGCAGTACCCCAGCTCACGTACAAACATGAATTACACAATCTGATGCCATACCAGCCGTCCCGTGGCTTTATCAGGCCTTATCCGGGTCGCCTTGATTGCTGGCTACAGCAGGGAGAACAGCGAAAACACGCTACTGTTGGCGCCCCCCACTTTCTTCTTTACCTGTGCCTTCTCTCCTCCACTCCATTGCTAACGACATCTCCGTAGACCAACTCATCCTTTCGCCGTCCATTGTCGTTAGCCTTCATCTAGGCCGTCACGAAAGCAGACACGTCGAAATCTAATCTAACCCCAACGCTCATTCCACCTACCAGCCTTTAACATTTGCACCCTGAAACAAACCAGGAATAGACTGCTGTAACCTGTACACTGAACTCGCTTTCTATTGATGTATGCTGTCTGTCTTCAATGATCTAAGACCCTAGTACGGTTGTTGAACTGACCCCTCATCGGTTTCTAATCACTTCTGGTTGCACGATTCCAGTGAACCGAATGCCGCTGCAGCTAGTCCTGCTGGTGTTGGCGTTGTTCTAAGGGTTTCTGCTTCAGTGGTTCCTTGTTGATAGTTGCCTCTGTGCGGTTCGTTTGACAATGTCTGTGATGGTATCCCGTAAACCTACTGCTAACCACTTCCTGTTCATCGGTTCTACTTACACCCCAACAGAATGTACCTGTGATACACCCAAAGACAGCTTTTATGATGCTTTGAACACCTTGTTGCTTTGGCCTAATGTCTCATATTGTCGTGGTTGCCGAGGGTATGTATGCTCAAATAGGCAGGTTAATGCTACTGAGGCTCAGTTGGGTGGTCGTCTTGGATTGAATTCGAGACTTACGGATAAGGCGAACATCTGCTTCATTCAGTTGCCAACCAAAGACTGTTTCTATACAATTCTAACATTCGAAATGACTGAAGACGCTTGGTCACATGATCCTCCCCGCGTGCGAACCGATCCCAAACACAGACCACATCACCATTAGCTACTGGTGGCTTGGGTCAATTGCTGATTGCTGTACATTCTAGAACCAATATGTCGATTCGGATCCACACACTTCCCCCTTTCTGCTTCACACTGCAGTCTTCAGGAGCCATCGACAAACTCTCGGACCCTGATGGGGAGCAAGTCTACCACCCATTGAATTTCCTTTCAGACAGCACGTCTTCGGATATGGACTGTTACTAGAACGTACTGTCTATACAAGTGCTGGACGCTGTGCTTGTGGAATGATGCAGCCAACCAGATCCAAGCACCATATCTCAAACAACACTAAGGTAGTTCGGAGTACAATATCACACGACGAACTACCAGCTTTCATCTCAGAAGCTTCTGCGGGGATCGAGAAGCTTGGTATGTCCAGGGGTATGAACAGCTGGAGGAGGTAGGAAACTGGTAATGTGCGTAAATTGTACCAGCTGATACTCACAGCAGGCCCAAAGAGGCCTGTGAGCCGTAAGTGAGCGAAGAAATCACTGATAGCAACGACTCGCCTTTCTGTAAATCGAAGGGCGTGTTAGTCTCTGGGTTGCACACTACCCAGAGCAATTTGGCTAGCCACCCGAAGTTGTCAGCCTGATTTCCGAGCCACAACGCAGCTCTAGGCAGTGTTCTTGAAAGCACCGACGATTTCCTAGATAAGCGAATACCTTTCGTCCCTCATACTTCATCCTTTGCTACAGTCCGATGTGGCAAGCGTAATGCGTTCTATTCTCTACATTTTGGTTTAATTCCGTCATGAGGTAATGAGGTGAACACTGAATGGTCTGAAAGCTCTTGGGCCTCAGATCTCTTGGAGCGAGAAACTTGTCAACCTAAATACACAGTGGACATTGTTCTACTCTTTTAGAAAAGCAGGAAGTGCAAGTATGATTTGAAAGCTGACCAAGGTCATCCAGTCCTCGGGCATATGTTTCGCGCCCACAAAGTGGAAAGTCGTGCTATATGGTATGCCTCTATAAGTTCTTGGGTTGACATTGGAAGTTGTGAGATGCTGTACGCATCTCAGAAGTTTCATGGGGTGATGTGACCGACGAATTCAACGCACAAATCTCGAAGGCAAGACCCAATTTGCTCAACTTATGTCGTCAAAAAGGCATATCGATGGGTCTCAAGGGATGCATATACCAGACTACGGTACTGGGTGTATTGTGCGGCTGCGAGGCTTGGCTACCACGGGCGGAGGATCTGGGTCCTTAACTACTGATACCTCAGGACTATGGCTAATTCAGGTGAAACCAGCGAATTCACAATGTGATAATAAAAAAACGAGTGTTTGGTGAAGCACACGATACTTTACCCAAGGAATGCCAGCTAAGTTGGCTGGGCTATGTTTTACGCATGACAAGTTGCCGCCCGCCGAGACGAGCGCTGTTTTCCGTGCCTACTTCAGAAGCCTGGAGGTGGACAGAATTTGGCAGGGAATGAAGAATGTTACGAAAACTTTGGGTGCTGTTGGTACTGTTTGTCTTCCTGGATGGGTCAATGTGGCCTTCCCTGTGCTTGGCTGGAGGCACTGTAAGACGGGGTGCCTAACTGGTGTCAGTAGCGTTGATGTCATCAGTTTATTTTCAGAAACTTTTACCCGTAAAGTGGAAAGTCTACGTTTGCGGCTGAAGAGCATAATTCTGAATGCTTAAAAGTCGCAACATATTGCTGTTCTGATAAGATCATCATCATCATCGACAGCATGACGTCAGTGTTCAACACCGATGCTTCACTGCCGTACAACCGTGACTTATTTGAAAGCCTTATTGTAAAGAAAAGAGTAAAGGTGGATGGGGGAGGGACTTAGTGCTAGCTTAACACAATCATTCCGAGGTGCCTACACCTCCAGGCATTCACTCAGGCAATCTGGATAGAAACTGACAACAGGAACGCCACTGACATCGGTTGGCAGCCAAATCTTGATAAGATAATCTGATAAGATAGTCCAAGAAGATCCAACTCCTTGTTCTCGTGAAAATTTTTCAGCCTAGCTGATGACGAACGATCTTTTTGACCCCTTTTTGTTTTCCAGCCCCGTTAACCCAGTCTAACCTAATACGGTGACTGATACAATGGTTGTTGAAGAAGACGATGCCTTTCGTCGTCTGGAGTATTTCTCGCTTGTTTCGAAAGTGTGCACGGAGCTGACTAATCATTTGGGTCTGGATGACAAAAGTCTTGGTAATTTTGATTTCTCTCCCTAAACATTACTCTTATCAGCCGAATTCGTTATCCATTTGGCGCGAAAGAACCAGACTTTCGACAAATTTAAGGCGGCCCTGGTGAAGAAAGGTGCGGAGTTCACTGTAAGTCGTTCTTCTAAACATCTTCATTGTTTCAAAGGATCCACTAATCGCAAGCATTTTACGCCTTGTGCAAAAAATGTTACCTCAGAAAACATCGAAACAGAAGAAAGATAAGAAGAAGGCAGCAACAGCTTCTATGGGTGCGGAATCGACAGAACCCGGGGAGCGAATGGTGGATGAAAAGTTGGAGTTGAGGAAAAGGTTGTTGCCAGCGCTTTGTATACCAAATGAGGATCCGAATCAGATGGTAAATTTTCATGCTCAAATGATGAATTCCTAGCATTTCAAACACGATGGGTTTGAACAATGTACCACTGTATCGGCCGATCAGTCAGACACCAGCAGTTCGAGTTTCATTCATCCAGATGATGAGCACTTGCTCAAAGAGCCCGAAACATATGCCCAAAGAGAACGCAATGATGTTGATGAACTGGCTGCTTCTGATATGCTCAAGGATCTGGAACAACTGCTGAGTGGTGCCAAGGCGTATGTTTGTTTCGCCAATTCAAGCAGACCATACTAATGACTGTTTTTTGTAGAGAATCTCTGGCTCCTCGCAAGAAAGCTAGGAGGTAGGCCACTTTTTATCAATTCCTCTATCTCCAACGAACTGATGTCTGAGGGAATCTCTAAATGTTCATTCTTAGGGATTTTACCAAAAAGAACCAGTGTCCACTAAAACCGCATCTAAGTGCGTGCGTACTCGGGGAGGTGAACCCCTCCAGACGATGACATTTTCTTGTGGCGTCCAGGAATCGACCGCACTACTTGTCCGAGGACTTAAGTTTTATCACCATACGAAATTCATTTATTGTTTCATGGGGAATAGGGAACTCTCTAGGAATCCATCTCGTCAGTTGGCTGAAAAATGTCACACACGACTTTGTATGGTCACATATGTTACCGGTAATACGTTCTGCATATGTCTAGTGGTCATCCCTTTGCTGAACAAGAAGTCTTGAAGCAACGTCATGGGTTAGGGTTCCCACTCATTCCTCTACTATTTCCTTCCTCACTGGCTGACTGAACTCTTTCAGTCAAAGCAATCAGTTTATCAGCTATAAAGCATGTACCTTGAGTACATAGCTCCCAGCTGCTATACTTTCGATCACTGGAAAGTAGGGGAGTGTGGGACATACAGCCAGGCATTGGAGGCGATGGCATGCTTACTTCGTTCGGGAACTGGCCAACTAAGCTTTGAAGGCGACAATTCTGATGCACTAACACCACTGACTGCGCGATTGGGCTATTTCTACCAGTGCCACTAACCACTGGTGACTTGGTAGTCCCGCAGTCCCCACCCAGGGAGGCGGTAGTTGACAACTCGACCGAGTTTAATAAGTGTTTTGCACACTTAGTAGCCTGGCCATACACTGCCTACCTCACGGTCGCTTACCCTGGGCAAGGGGTTCTGCGAGGCAGACGGGCTTCCGAAATGGGGAGTACATGTTCCAACCATGTTCCTAAAACCATCTGGCGTACCTACGCACCCCCTAATCCGAAACGGCGACGTCGCAGTGATTCGTCACGCTCAGCGTTCCAGTCAGATCTACGTGAGTCAGGATCACGTGGAGACCGGTGATGTCGGGGAGACCTGCGCCCGCGGAATGGACGGCCTTCTCTGCTAGATCGGTGATCAGAGGAACCACAAGTTGATGGGGAACGTGACTTCGCCCGATGAGGCGATCTGCAAAAAAAAATCAAAGGTCAGAACCAAACCACCGAGTGAAAAAAACAGCGAAAAAAGGCCATTTCTCACCGTTGACGATCTGCCCGGCTTCGTCTGTCTGAATGAACAGAACGCTCCGCTTCTGTATCACCCTTGCTCTGAAACGGCGAATCCGAGCGAGAACGGGACCGACGAGGTCTGTACCGACTGTGATGGTGGAGAAAAAAATAGCGGGATCATATTGGATCGTTAAATCCGGAGCTAATTACCATGCTATCGGTTGAGTAGGATAATCCGACAGCTCAACAACCTATGATAATGGAATTGGTAGGGATAACTGCCTATGAGATTTATTGGTTGTTGACCAGATGGCTGTTGATCTGTTTGCCGAGCTTGGCAATTGGCTTGCAAACGTTTCGTCACCATACGAGGAGACATCATCAGTGCGCAGTTGGGTGGGTTGTGTTTGTGGTTGTGTTTGTTCTTTTCTTAATGAGCTGACCAATCTTCGATAAGCGATCATACCTCACAGTGCGGTAAGATATTATTTGACGTGAAATCCAATGACGAGGAAGCATTGTCCGGAGGCTAGTCGCTCACATCGATTAGATGGACGCGCGAGCCACGGACCGAAGACATGCCCTAATTGGTCAGCGCCAAGCATTTTTAGCTCAGCGCTTTTCGCGCCCTCACGAAGATTCCAGCGCGACCTTACGAAGTTTTCCGTGATAACTCCACAGATACAGTTGTAGTAGTTTTCTTTTGGCTCCATAAAATACTGTCTCAGGCTACCGTGCCTTCTGATATACCATATTGGGCAGAGCGGGAGGCCAAGGACGAACATAGGCGTTGCAACACCGTCCACGGAAAACAACTGGTGACCACAATACTCATGGTTTAAGTTCAACACCAAGAGGATTTTGGCATTCATGTGGACTGCATGGCAGCAACGTGCCAAAGAGAAACGACACACAAATGGCTATTTAGCAAAATACTGATAAGGATAAATAAGCGGGGACGCCTGAATTCGCAGGGTGTCTACGGCTTATGGTAGTGCAGCCAACATTGGATTAATATCGGCCAGACTGGCCAGCAATACCCTGTACGGGTTGCTGCGATTCGACGCATTCAAGAAGCCGACTGATTCTCACACAGGAGACAGCCGAATCAGAGGAAAGCAAATTATATGATGCGTGAGCCCCGCACACCCGGGCGTTGTAGCTTAGTCGAACAGTTTAGAATTTTAACCATACAGAACCTGTTATACCATGGTTAAAACACATCCACAAGTAGTGCTGGATGAACATCAATGGGGAGGATACAGCTGTTGACTACTTCACTTATTGTTGCTGGAAGAAGCTTGATGAAGGAAAGGCACTGGTGGAAATGTGGGCCCCAAACACGAGAATGCAAGGTAGCTGTGGAACTCACGTGTGGTTCTAGGAAAACAGTAACAAAAACATCCTGAAAAACAAAGCGGAAAATTCCAGTCCTTTCAGATGACATTCGGGTTTGCCGGTTTCGAGTAGCTGCATCGCTTGAAATTTAGGTACACTCCGTAGATGTCTACTTTTTCTACTACCTCCGGACGCACAGGCATCATCCGATAGAAGAGAGAGCAGCATTTGCATAACTCCGACACCTATGGTACCAAACGGACATCAGTTTGTCTGTCAATGGCAGAGTTTACAGAGCGGCACTTCGATCTATATTGCTGTGTGAATGAGAAACGTTGCTCCTACGCGCAGATGACATGTGGAAACTCCCACCATCTGACCGTCGGCGTTTCTGAAGCATGGTCAGGTTTTGGTGGGAACATCGGATTAGGGGGTGCGTAGGTACGCCAGATGGTTTTAGGAACATGGTTGGAACATGTACTCGCGATTTCGGAAGCCCGTCTGCCTCGCATAACCCCTTGCCCAAGGTAAGCGACCGTGAGGTGGGCAGTGTATGGCCAGGGGTGGGGCGAGATGGCCCAAGTGGTTAGAGCGCGAATTTACTGATCGGAAGGTTCGTGGTTCGAGCCCGACCTCTGCCACTCGACTTCCCCTGTCTAGGCTTGGGCAGAGTAGCTGCATCGCTTGAAATTTAGGTACACTCCGTAGATGTCTACTTTTTCTACTACCTCCGGACGCACAGGCATCATCCGATAGAAGAGAGAGCAGCATTTGCATAACTCCGACACCTATGGTACCAAACGGACATCAGTTTGTCTGTCAATGGCAGAGTTTACAGAGCGGCACTTCGATCTATACTGCTGTGTGAATGAGAAACGTTGCTCCTACGCGCAGATGACATGTGGAAACTCCCACCATCTGACCGTCGGCGTTTCTGAAGCATTGGTCAGGTTTGGTGGGAACATCGGATTAGGGGGTGCGTAGGTACGCCAGATGGTTTTAGGAACATGGTTGGAACATGTACTCCCCATTTCGGAAACCCGTCTGCCTCGCATAACCCCTTGCCCAAGGTAAGCGACCGTGAGGTGGGCAGTGTATGGCCAGGGGTGGGGCGAGATGGCCCAAGTGGTTAGAGCGCGAATTTACTGATCGGAAGGTTCGTGGTTCGAGCCCGACCTCTGCCACTCGACTTCCCCTGTCTAGGCTTGGGCAACCGGGCAGTATCCCAGCCCTCGTGCTTCCTCTGGATGGCATGGCGGCTAGGCATTGAAAAGGTGTTACAACTGAACGATTTTTTCTAATATTTTTTTTACGACGTCGCAGTCCCCGTAGGCGTGGTAGTCGCTCTCCGGATAACCGAGGTGCATCATCATCAAGACGCCCGACCTTGCCCGTTGAACCAGTTGTTGGTACAATCTACACAGGACGTGTGACAAACATATTGGCCTTTGGTGCTGTCGTGCAGCTGGAGGGTTTGAGAAAGCGGTGGGAAGGATTGGTACATATCTCCCAGATAAGACAAGAGGGTCGCGTAGCCAACGTGAGCGATGTAGTACAGCGAATGCAGAAGGTATGTCATCACAACCGATCGTTCGTTTCTTTTTTTGCCTATTTTGGATACCATATCTATAAAACATTGTCCCTGACGGTGTGTGTCTGCGGTACACACATAATCTGGCGAGGGACAGTATCTTCTGTGAGGAAGTTTGCCGTTGAAAAAAACCTTCAAGGGGTCAATCAAGAGGGATCTCTTCTTAGTTCTGGTTTCTGAGGAGACTCTATGTAACCATTGTGGCACAGTTGCCTTGTAGACTAGTCACTTTTTTCCACTTCCATACTGACCCATCGGTTTACCGAGTCTCGTTCTCATCAGGACAGGTGGTTGCCCCGTTTGTAGCGTGCAGCCTGCTTTTTGAATGTTTCGGTGACGTTTGCCCCAGGGCGATTTTCGCCGAACTTTCAATGGTTATTTATATACAAGCTTCTACATGTCACTCTCATCAGTGCGGTTTCTCGAGATCGGTACAGGCACAGGGTTTCATGGAAAAGATTCCCAGTCCCACTCTGTATTCTGGCATTTCATTACCTTAGGGCAACCTCTGAGGCACCGTGGAAAATATTATGTGCATTCCAACGTAACTGCCAGCCTAGCTGTAGGTAGACAAGCCAGTTTTATCGGATTTGACTCAAGTAAGGTCCTTAAGCATTTAAAATGCTTTTTATGATTTTTTGGTTGTGCATCTCTTGCCTTTGTAAATCCAAGTGCAAGGTACACAGAGAGGTATATAGAGAGCTGTTGAACACAAACAATAGCGTGACTGTTTGAGCTTGGACTCCCTCTCAACAACCGGGTCCATCCCAGTGTCTACTGTTAAGCTGTTGCCGCATATAATTAGAATGAGCTACTTGGAGACATAGGCGAGTTGATGACTGGCCAATGACAAAAGGCTCGGAAGCTGACCGACGGTGGCATGGTAGGTCTGTCGGACGGACTCACCTCTTATGTACTTACTTTAGGTGCAGTTTCTGAAACTAACGTTCTTCCTCATTTCTTCTTGATTGTACTTTTGACTTTGTAGCGCATGATCACTTCAAACTGTATTGCACCACCCTTTGTTCAGGGCACCTGGAGTCAACCATGCGCTTTTTCTCGTATAACTCGCAGACCCGTATTCGATATTGTAGGGGCTATTCGAGGTTTTTGGCCCTGCTAATTTAATTTCCTGTCGGACCCTTGAGTGTCTTTTTCTCCACACTGTAGGTCTATGTCAAAGTGCTCTCTTTCACGGGTACGAGGACCAGTTTGAGCATGAAGGAAGTAAATCAAGAAACTGGAGAAGATTTGAATCCACGTGGACGTGGCAAGTCACCATCCGGCCACCAGACAGACCCAGCGAAAGGCAAAATGCGCAACGTAGACGAAGTCGATATAGATGGAGCGAGGAATCCAGATCGTCCGGATGCCGGCCTGTCCGCCTCGACTTTACTATTTCGGCCGAGGAAAGATGTGATGGAAGAGGACTTGGACTCTGGCCCTAAACGGTAGGCTATCCAAGCTTCTAGTCTTTTTGGTGGGGCTTTGAGGCCGGAAATCTTTAAATATGATACGTCCGCCAAATAGTAGTGTCTTGGCCCACTTATCGATCCAATGCCCCCGGCAGAACAACAACAAAAGATACACTGAGTCTATTGACACTCAAAGCGATTAAGAACTGTACTTTTATACGGCATACAGACTGTATGCAGCGGCGACATGCCGGAAATTTAGATCGCTTCTGAACTCGCCATCAGTGGCTGGCGCCAAACGGATGCCAAAATGTAACGGCCTGTTGGACCTTTTGGGGGAATTTTCTTTCTCTTGAGAGGCAGAACTAATGTGAACGTCCTCCGACACATTCAGCACTAGGACAACGCACGTTTAGTTGTACGCGGATATTTCTAATTCCTTCTTTCAGCGTTTGATGGAGTTCTATTTTGAAGTGAGTTTGTCAGTTAGGTCGTCAAAAATTTCCACCCGAATGAGTTAGAAATGATCACCCAGGTTTGTTTTGTGCTGGTAAAAAGGTGTAACTTAGTACCGCATGATAAATATCGAGTTGTTGGAGTGAGGTGCTCATGTAAGCTATTACCGGTGAGTAACTGCACAAAGGCCGCAATGACCCAACCTGGGAGAAATGGTTTCAGTACACTGAAAAATTTCTGCTATAGGGTACCTCCAAGCAAGTGAAAAACCCCCCATAACGCATCGAGAAATGTCTTGTAAGGTGTGATCGCCTACCAATACTGAAGTATATTTCGATCACTGTACACAACAGCTACACCTTTCAGTCAAAGTTGCGCTGTAGGTTACCTGCGCGCGTTCACCTGTTCACTGGTCACCTGAGTGCGAGCTTTGCATCAGTCATTGAAAAGGTGCACTGCCCACCCAATGCCCCTAATGTGTGTTTAGCACCGGTTTGTGGGATTCGTGAGCTAAGCGCACCTTTGGCATAGCTCCACCAACATGTTCATCATTGACATCTGTCAGGTCATGGATTGGCATACTGATTGGTGAAAACTGAAGATTCAACCAAGGCTTGAATCGAACTCGTTCGCGATGTGCTTCAACCAAATGTGAAGCGTCGAGGTTACCATAAGGTTCGTTCGAGTTGATGTTCAAGAGATCGAATTATTTCTTTTGTAACTAATACTACACATTGGACCACGGTTAACTGAAGTTTGGGTGGGGGGCAGGAATGTGGGACGGACACGTGAGGAAGTTGTTCAGTAGTAAGCGAGGAACAGGGGTTTACTGTTTGGTTGATAAAAGCCGTTTGGGATTTCGCGAATCATCCAGATATGCGGTAAACTTCCAGCGATACTGAGGGACATTGTTTTCTGGGAAGATGACTGTGCAGTAGTACGAATGGGAAGCTAGACGTCCGAAGATGGACACTAAGCACCGATCTTCCGCTTTCGAACGGATCCTGTACTGAGTGGTCTGTGGCGGGAAACTACACTCCACCACACTGACGCACTTGACGTCCGTGTATGATCCGACACGCATCTACCAAATGGATTAATAGCTGAGTATTATCACTGTCGCTAATAGGCTCCCCGTGTGCCTTTAATGTCGTCCAGATAGCCGAAGACTTCTCGAGTTAATGGACGTTTTTTTTTGGGGGGGGGGCGAGATGGTGTTCAATTTGTCATAAGCTGAGATGCCCAAGTGTGTTTTTTTGAGAAGAAAGACGTATCTGCAGCATGCTGTCTACCGATAAGTGGACTTCAATCTACGTAGATCGAACATCTTGTGTTTGGTATCCGTGCTTTGCGAATTCCAATAGCCTCAGTCAAGTGACATCCATTTGCTATGTTCTGAAATGTTGCCTGTCTTGTGGTGATATCCACGTTGACGCCGCACATTTACTGTTACTAGCCTCTTATGGGTTGCTGCATGAGCCTTTGAGATTATGTTGGCGCGTTTGACAGGCTTACGTTCGGTCCCTACCGCAGTGGACCCCAATCGCGCATTTTAACGGCATGACCAGCAGAAAAATTTGCGGTCATGAGCTTTTCTCGTGAGGCTTTGCGTACCCTCTGTGTTGCTGCTTAGAGGAACACTTGGGGGCTTTGATCAAAGTAGCTGGAGATAGTGCCGAATGACAAAAATAGGCCCTTTTTTGGGTAAACTTATCTTCTTTCTTTTGGTTAATCCCCCCAGTCATGTAGTGGGACTAGTTCGTTCTTAGCCCCCGTACTTCATCCGAGTTGCACGCCAGCTGTGCACCGAACAGGACCTGGCAAAATGAATGAACTTATTGTAAACCTTTGAAATTATCCAATTCACTCATTGTTTGGTTTCGGTCGTTTCAGAAAAGTGCAACGAATCAGTAGTCCTGAGCGCTGGGAATTGAAACAGATGATGTCCGCTGGGGTGATTGAAAAAACAGAGCTTCCGGATTTCGACGAGGAAACCGGACTTTTACCCCGAGAGGATGAGGAGTCCGATGAGGATATGGAGATTGAACTGGTCGAGGAAGAACCGCCGTTCTTAAAGGTAGGTTTGTTGTTCACTTTTCCCACCGACTAGCACAAGTTCCCTCACCTGTCGATGAGATTTCTGTGGGTTCCAGGGGGCATTCGTAGCGAAGAGTGCGACTTTTCTGTAGACTTCGAAACGATTGTACACGTGACTTTTAATGGGATTATGCATTTTTACGTTTAGATGAATTTCGGAACCACATCGAACATCTGTTCTACAGCCATGCGACTAAGGTTCGGTTCTCTTTGCTTTACACAGTGCAAGTTTGAAACACACACTGAAGCATTTTATCTAGGTTGTATGCCAGCGTTCATACGTTTTACGTCTGTATGTTCACTTACATCCCCAGTATTCGTGGGTTAACTCCCTGGGAGATGACTACTTGCCTGACAGCCTTCAGTGTGTAGTGAAATTTTGCGAGTGCTCATATTCCCTTGGGAGTGAGACATCTGAGTGTCAGCATGTACGGTAGTAAAAAAACGAACTGAGCTCATCGACCTCGCATTAGTTCGGTATGCACATGGTCGTCGCTACTCTACTGTGTATTACCCGTAGAATTACATGCCAGCTGAGCTCTGTACCAACCTGAACACAATGTCGACTTGGGCTGGGAGAGCCTTTTATCTGACACACCTGCACACAGTTGGGTATGCACACGTTTTTGCCAGGAGGTGTAATAACCCGTGTTTCTCTACATCATCGTATCTTCCTCGAAACAAATAGACGTTGTTATCTAAACCTAGCGTCCCCAGGCTATCCGACTTTCTCATGAAACGTCTGGTTGATGTGGATCCTATGGCGACCAGGATAGTTTTTCTAGGTAAGAACAGGCCACTGTAGCTCGCTTTGAAATTAAGAGGGTATTCTGTTGACTACGTCAAAAGGTAACCCATAAAAAACTGACAGTTCACTAAGTCATTTCTACCACCGAAAGTCTCGGCACGAGTTCTCGAATAAGGGGACCGAATCAGTGTCGATATGGTGATGTGAGCAGCACTTCCTCGGCGGTGTGAGAGTTCTCATGTAGCCAGTTTTTGCATAGTAACCTCAATTAGCGCTCTGGTCGGGTGGCCTGATAAGTAGACACAACTATTCGCGATAACTGATACATCTCCATCGTACCCCCTGCCGAATGTTCTTATCTCCCACCTTTTGAAACGTCTGTCGAATGCCTTTCAGATGAAAAACTCTCAACTTTACTCCGTGAAAGGTAAACTTGTAGCACATTGACCATCTAACGTCTGTCGCTCACCCACTTTACCTTATCCTCTTTTAGGGCCATGGGCGGCATGCGATGGATCTGTCTCCGGTTCGGATTGTCAAAAACCCGGACGGTTCGCTGCAGCAAGCGGCCATGATGCGTCAGGCGTTGCAGAAGGAGCGTCGAGAAATGAAGCAGCAAGAACGTCAGAGTCAAATGATGGCCGAACGCGAAGCAGCACCGGAGCGCATGGGCAAGGACTGGCATGACCCGATGGGAGCAAGCTGTAAGGGTCCTGGGCGTTTTTTCGTTCGTTCGGTTTGTTTATGGACACGGGTTCTCCCAGACTAGAATCCCATCGTAGACAGACGTAATCTGTGAAATACAGTAGCCGGAACGGGATAGCTTGGTTGTTCATTTGGTCCTTTTAGTCAAACCATTACATTACTCCACCATCTAACAATTACTCTCATCTATTAAAGGCTTTTATGTAATGTTCACATTCTTTTTGGCTTCCTTTGCTCTGTTTGGGCGTACAAAGCCAACTTTTTTTTAGTGAGTAATGGTATTTAACAGTGATTTCATCCTATCAGTAACGCCAATCTATGCTGAAAAGCCGAGAAGCACTGCTCAGCTGTTTCATCCTTATTGGGAATCGCCAGCAGTACTCTTCTCACAAGACTCAGAAAGTTCTGAACCCGCAACTTTTCGGTCATTGATTGAACACCTGACCGTTTGGTCACGACCAGCTGATGAGCACTACGATTAGCTCTCACGCAGACAGGACATAGCGCCACTCATCCTTCAATCACAGAAACCACATGACGTGGTCACCCATTGACTGGTTCCTTGGGTGAGATGGCGAGATGGCCCAATTGGTTAGAGCACGAATTTACTGATCGGAAGGTCCATGGTTCGAACAGGACCTCTGCCTTTCTTATTCTCCTGTCTAGGTCTGGACAACCTGGCAGTATCCCAGCCCTCGTGCTTCCTTCTGTGGCATGGCATTGAGGCATCGAAAGGATTCTGCAGCTGAACAATTTTTCGGTTCTTTGGATGATGAATTCTAAGTGACTTTTTTTCTCCGGGTTGTAAGCGAATGCTCAGCGAGCCCATAGAAGGGCAAACAACTAGGGAACATGTCTCCTCGTTTTTTCCTTTGAATTTTTCTCCGACGATGTTGGTGCAGCAATAACGGTTGCCGCTGACATCCTTTCAAATAACCAAGTGTCTATCGCTTTGGGCTCTTGTCATCTTGGAGGTTTCTTTTTTGGACCCCTCTACCACCTTTTGAAATGTGTCTTTACTAACACGCGGATTGTATACCGGTATCAGCTACCTCCAGATCGCTTCCTGCCATCTGTGTATCTGACTGACCGCTAAATTCGCTTCACAATTGAACTGTCTTATTTGGGCGTCCGGATATGTAGGTCTGTATCCTCTCACTTTGGGTAAGAAGCCACACAGTTTCTCTTTCTCTTACCTTTCAGTGGATGCAAAACCCCAGTTTGGCGGTCCTCGTTCCTCGGAACAGTTCAAAGACGTTCCAGAGTGGAAACGCGCCGTACAGGGCGGTACTCGGACGGGTGCGGTTGGCAAGAAAATAGTTCGCTCCATACTGGAGCAGCGACAGTCTCTGCCCATATTCAAACTGAAAGATGAACTTTTACACGTAAGCTAAATTTCAGTATCATTGATAGGCATCCACCAGCTTCTTCATATCCCTACTTTGATGTCCAGGACTTTCCGTGCTAAATGATTTTTTATGTAATGATATTACTTTGCGCAATAACCACTTGTGCATCGGAACTTGTACCAAACGTACTCTATCAGGACACCCCCACAATGTTCTCTGCCTTGTTAACAAGTGGCCTGATACTTTAGCTACTATCATGATGTCAGTAGATTCTGCCATAAGACAACTAAATCAGTGTTTGCATCGAAGCACACTGGCAGTGCTCTTGTGGAAATCTCCACCTATTGATAAAAGAGTTCAGGTTCCTCAGTGATTACCGAGTATTAATTTAGACCAGTGATTTCTCAGTGCTCACAGTCGTCACATTCTTCGAGGGTATCTCCACGCACTACGGTAACTCGCTGTTGCCGGAAGCTTCAAACCCGATAACTTATTCTGTAGAGTGGAACGATAAATTTCGTTCCAGCAGATACCCGATCACGAGGTTGCATTATTGAGCTTCGAGTTGCCCTATGACCCGTCTTGATAAAGGTTGATCACATCGCTGACCAACCAAAGCAGAATGGTTAAATCCTCGGAAAGTTACGGTTTGGAGTCACTTCCGAGATTCATGAGATCCGCATTGCTTGTGATTTCGACCAGGGAAGGAGCATATTTATACTACCAGTTGGCCTTCCGGCATAGGTTGTAGGACTCGGGAAATTTTCGTCCCCATCTCCTTATGCGTTAGTTTATATTACGTTCATGTTGTCAAAAGGCCGGACCCACGCAACTGAAGCAGCAGTGAAAACGGGTATGCTGATCTTCTGCTTTCTTCAACGTTTAGCCTCTTGCGTTGATCGCTCGCTTTTAATATGCTTGACCACAAGTTTGATGTAGTCCGGGGGCTAGAATGCAAGCTCCTGACTTGTTTTCCGTTCTCTAACTGGACTACGGTGATGGTGGTGGTATGCCCCTCTTGAATGTATAGCTTTGTTCCCCATAATAGGTGAGGTGGAACATAACAATATGATGGACAAGATATACGTCAATAGACCTCATTCCTTCCAATAATGCATGACCTTTCCAAATTCTCCCCATCACAGGCCGTCAACGATAATAAAGTTCTCATTGTGATTGGTGAAACGGGCAGCGGAAAAACAACTCAGATCACCCAGTATTTGGCCGAGGCCGGTTTCACTAATACTGGCCGAATCGGATGTACACAACCACGTCGTGTTGCTGCAATGTCCGTTGCCAAGAGAGTAAGTTAACGGCGTTAGGTTTCTCTTGTCCACTAGAGAATCTCGCCTGCTTCTTAGAGAGAATCTCATCGGTGGCCTCAGGCGCTGCCCCTCCTCATGCAAAGCTATGTTTACTAATCTTCGTGTACCTTTCGTGTTTTAGGTTTCCGAAGAGTTTGGATGTCGACTTGGTCAAGAAGTGGGTTACACCATTCGGTTCGAGGACTGCACCGCTCCGGAGACCAAGATAAAGTACATGACAGATGGTATGCTTTTGCGTGAATGTCTTATCGACCCGGACCTGCGTCAGTACTCGGTAATCATGTTGGATGAGGCACACGAGCGCACCATCCATACGGATGTGTTGTTTGGATTGTTGAAGAAGGCGATTCAGAAACGGGACGATATGAAACTGATTGTCACATCGGCTACGCTGGACTCAGTCAAATTCTCACAGTACTTTTTCGAAGCAGTAAGTTCCAATTATTCACGGGTTTGGCAGGTTTTCCTTTTAGACATCACGTATGGGTACGGGAATCAGAGCTTAGTTGGTATTCCACTCAACAGTGTGACGCAGAATAGATTAACTGGTCCAACACCACTCTTGAGGTAAAACACTGAAACTTAAATGTAGCGGTAGTATTGTTATCACTGTAGCTGGAAATTTTCATCGTTCCAATGTGAAAAGTCAGTCATAGAACCAATTATGACATGTTCTGCCTCCGTTGCAGTCAGACAGTGCCCTATGTATTAATCAAATTACCCAACAAAATTCACATCTCCGAAGTCCTCAAATGACATGTGCATGGGAAAATTCGTGAGATTTACAAGCTTCACGTTCCGCACAAACTGCGGGCAGGATTGTTGCTTTAGACTCATCCGTGATGTCTATCCCAAGGGGTTCTATATTCTTCTAGGTTGAGTCTTCATCTTATTGGTAGGCAAGATGCATAATCGATGGTGATGTGAGGAGATTTCGCAATTTTCAGTGGAGATTTCATCCTGTCAGTGAAGCCAATCTATGGTGAAAGGCGGATAAGCACTGTACAGCTGTTTCATTCTATTTGGGAATCACGAATCTCAGGGTTTCTAGTGCACAATCTTCTGGCCAGTGGTTGAACACTTAACCGTCTGGCCAAAGATGGCTGGTTGGCACTGTGATTAGTCCTCACTTAGAACATAGGGCCACCCATCCTTCACCAACGGAAACCGCATCACGTGGCCACATACTGATTAGCTAAATAAGAACCAATGACATTGCTAAGCAGCCGCTCGTGGACAAACGGGTGTGTTCAGCTGCTGGTCAAAAGGTCGCAGGTTCGAAACACTAAGTTTCGTGGGATGTGCACTGTTGGTGATTCCCACCTGTACGGTGCTTCTTAGCTTTTCACCGTAGATTGGCTTTATTGGAAGGACGAACTCTTCACCTAGCCGAAATACAGAAACTCCGAACTTTCTTCCAAGCAACGAGGGGCTATCCATGATCCGGCAGTAAGATTCCCTCAGACCTACCTAACAGTCAACCATTTTTGTTATTGACGGATGGTGGAACCCAAGGTGGATCTTTGCAGCTAGGAACCGATGTGTAGTGGCCATATACCGTAAATTCTCAGGTATTCTGAGGTCTTAGGCTGCATCAGGACCGATTAGCTTGCTGGCAAACCTCATATCTTCTGTCGGTTTTTGTTATAGAGGTGTTGTGCTTAAGTGCGAGCCGTGTGCTTTGTTACCAGTGATACAAAACAGACAACTGGCAGAACATGGTAGCAGGAAGATAAGGAATTACACGAGGTCTGAGGTGCCAAACGAATACACACTGGAAGGTGCCTTTCTGTTATCTTGGCTGTGATTTCTTTTGTACCCAAGCAAATTTTTTGGTGTTTCACTGTAATCTGGATCGTAATCTGGATCTGATACAGTTGCTAATCAATAAGAGAGTGAGGAAACCAATGTACGACAGGCAAGTTCTGTCGATCGAATCCACTTTAAAATGACACGTGCGAACCGACCATGTGGACACGAGCGACTGTAGCAGTTAGACGAATAAGACGACTCATCCCTCAGGTGAAGGCAGCCTAAAGTAATTATTGACCACAGCACCGCATATCAGGCCAGTATCCACGTTAACAACTTTCGCACAAAACTACCGGGCTTAGTCGCCCTACGTGAGCCTATTTTCATTGCACCCGCCGCCTCCCAAGAAGGTCATTTACCATTCTATCGACTTATCTTCCTACTTCTTCAGCCTATATTCACCATCCCTGGACGCACTTATCCTGTAGAGATTCTGTACAGTCTGGAGCCGGAAAATGACTACCTGGATGCTGCTCTAAATACGGTGATGCAAATTCACCTGACAGAGCCGCCAGGTAAGTAAACAGTTGGACGATTTTTGCTCACTCTCATCCACAATCAGTGTTTCGGATGCATGAGGTACCCGTTACTATTCACTGTCTCTTTCATGCTTGGGTCTTTCATCAGCCTCGTGTATGAATCACGTTCATTTGTCTGACAGTTGTTCTACCCGATTGTTTACTGACCACAACTCCTTCAGTTTTCTCCGCTGACCTATTCTCTGAATGCTTGTTTGGTGCTATATAAACCGGGCACACTGGCCGCTGATGGGTATTCATAAATCCTGTTGCGTCCAAATTGGATGTTCAAAATCTGCAGGTAGCTCTTCACATGGTGCAGCCTACTAGGAATCACTTGAGGATACAAGTTTTTTGTGGCCTTTGATCGTAACCTGACCCACCGTTGTATGATTTGCTCCAAAGGCGATATTCTCGTCTTCCTCACTGGTCAAGAGGAAATTGACTCGGGCTGCGAGATTCTCTACGAACGAATGAAAGCACTCGGTTCCGATGTCCCCGAACTCATTATTCTCCCGGTATATGCCGCTCTGCCTTCCGAAATGCAATCACGGATCTTCGATCCGGCTCCGCCAGGGTCGCGTAAAGTGGTGATTGCAACCAACATTGCCGAAACCTCCTTGACGATCGACGGTATCTACTATGTGATCGACCCTGGCTTTGTCAAACAGAAGGTATACAGCAGCAAGTCAGGCATGGATCAATTGATTGTCACCCCTATCTCACAGGTACGTCCTCTTGTAATCAGTTCTGGTATTCCGCTCCTAAAGGCTCCTCGACTACTTCACCGAAGTCCTCTTCCCTATCGTGCTCGGTGTTCGGGGATGCAATAACTCCAGACGGATAAAACCATAATATTCGTTCAGTTGTAACACACTTTCGATGCCCAGATGTCACGCCACCCGAATGATGCACAAGGGCTGAGATAATGCCAGGTTGCTCAAACCTAGACAGAGCAGTCGAAAAACCATAATATTCGTTCAGTTGTAACACACTTTCGATGCCCAGATGTCACGCCACCCGAATGATGCACAAGGGCTGAGATAATGCCAGGTTGCTCAAACCTAGACAGGAGCAGTCGAGATGCAGAGTTGGGTTCAAACCGCAGACCTTCTGGTCAGTAAATCCGTGCCACAACCACTGAGCTATATCGAGCTCCAGACGGATAAGTCAAGGCTCCCGGAAGGGAGCAAATCAACTAGTCCTTGTTTTTGTGGAATTATGTGTGCGTGGAATTCCTAACTTTGTCCGTAGTAAAGTGCAACCAAGTTTATTGGTCAGCTAAGTTTTCTCGCCCAACCCATTTGATGTATGTACCCGACAAGGAACGCTATCCAAATGTATATTTACTTCCAACATCTCTGTAGGTTATTGTTTGAGGTCCGCCTTCAGCCGGTCGCACTCCCTCTCGCATCATTCGGAGTGTCTGTCGCTAAAAAACCAACGGACAGAGCTCAGTAATCCCTGCTTTTCTGGTAATTTTTCCTACAAATTTGATTTCACAGTTTCAAGCCTGGGAGGTAACTTTACAGTTCTGTATTATTCTGATTCAAAATCAACAGTAGTGCACATCTACCGAAATCACGACCCACTATCGATTAGCGATCCGCAACTGCAAGATGAGGTGAGTACGATCGCAAATTCAGGACCCTTCTCACGCTTCTCGGTATGATACGACTGTGCAACACTCCTAAGCTTTCCAAAGTTCGCGCCTTAACCACTGAGCTGTTTGCTGCTTGACCATAATTATGAAGTGGAATAAGTCGGGGCATGCATTCATAGTTTTTTTAAAATCGGATATTGGTGCTTTAGTGAACCTCAAATCGTGAGCATTGCACCGGGTGACTTTATTTTCACTTCCCGGACTTGCGACAGTTGTTCATTTTGTATTCTCTCTTTCTCCTCCCTAAAATGCTGCAGGCTCAGGCCAAACAACGAGCTGGGAGAGCCGGACGCACGGGTCCCGGCAAGTGCTACAGGCTGTACACGGAACGAGCCTATCGAGACGAGATGCTTGCCACCAATGTGCCCGAGATTCAACGCACAAATTTGGCCAGTACCGTTCTACAGCTCAAGGCCATGGGGATTAACGATCTATTGTCGTTCGATTTCATGGATCCTCCTCCCTTACAGGTGTGTAGCTCATTTTCGAGCGATCAGTTCTCACCACCAGTCTGACTGTGGAGCTATAAGTTGACTCACTTGACTTCTCTTTGTCATGTGTTTCAGGGACCCTTTTGAGAGCGCGGTTTCACTCCTGAACATCATTGCGTCTGACAAGGCGCGGATATCACCACTCATTAGTCTACCGACTAGTAATTCCGAATAGTGCATCTTTGAGAAACGTCGGGACTAAGCACTACTTATAGTTTACTTTTCTAACTTTGAATTATCAGTTCGGCTTGTCCATAAACCAACGATTCTTACGGAACCAAGAAGTGGACCGATTCTGTGTGGTCCCACCATTTGGAATAAGCGGCGAAGGCTGGAGACGTCACAAACCATCGTTGTCGAACCCTCTTTTGCGTTTTTGCAGCTGCCTTTTGTGCTATTAGCTGACGAAGTTGTTTGCGTGTAGGCATCTCTGAATTTCTGTGGTATGCTACCACGTGGATTCTCCTTCCTTTGTCCTTTTTTCGAAACAGGGCTCCTGTGAGCCAAAAAACTATGGAAATGGAGTGCCGGTGTTCATCACTAGTATCGTTGTCTTCGCCAATGACTGAGCAGTATAACTGCTGTAGAATCGCTCATCTTGGACGAATGGACGACTAAGGAAAGTACCTCATGGAACAGTTGGTTGTTGATCACATGACTATTGATTTGTTGCCCAACAGCCGCTTGATCAACAACATAAACATTTCCGATCCACCAATTATCCAGTCGTATTCAGCAGCATTTCAGGCCTCACCGTCGGTGCTTTGGCACCGCTCGACTCTAACAGCTCATTCATCAACATCGACTCCAACGGTTTGTCCACGCTCTTCACCGCCTTTATACGGCTTCTAAACCGAGCCAATACAGGCTTTTTCGTTAAATTAGTCTGATGAAAACATGGATTGACATTCAAGTCTGACGTTAAACGTGATCTGTAGGCCGACTGTAATCCACGCATTCACACTGAATGAATGTCTTCGGGAGACTTGTCACCACCTGCCACGCTTGGGCAGCTGCGATTTGAAGCATTCAACAAGCCGGTTCATCCCTACTCAGGAGATAGCTTAATTAAAGTGAAGTACAGAAAGTTGCGTGAATTCCGCATGCGGCTGCGGTGTAAATCATCCCAGCGATTTCGGCATCAGGGGGTATTTTGCCCGCGTGTTTCACTACAGCTTTTGTAGCCGGAGTTCCTTAACTTTCCTCGGTGATTCTTCGAAGCTTTTTGGATTCTTTCAAGGAGCACTATTAACTGTTAACTTCACCTCTTTCCCACCACAGACTCTTGTTGCTGCTATGGAAACGTTACACGGCTTGTCAGCACTGGATGATGAAGGTCTTTTGACGCGGTTGGGTCGACGGGTATGTTTGGTTGATCCTCGTACTTCTCTGTCTTTTGTCATTGCCATTGTCTTTCGTCAACCTGAATGCTTCGCCTCATTTCAGATGGCTGAGTTCCCGTTGGAGCCAATGTTATCCAAAATGCTCATCATGTCCGTGCATCTGCAGTGCTCTGAAGAGGTTTTGACCATTGTGTCGATGCTGTCCGTTCAGAATGTGTTCTACCGGCCAAAGGTATGTGACCACATCCACACACTAACTGTCTGTCCGTTGATGCTCTTCGTTTTGGTCTGACTACTCATTTTATCCACTTTTCTTGTCTGAAACTCCGATTCGCCAGATCTCCTTTACTTTCATGCAACCGGTTGAGCATATTCTCACATGCTTCTTAGCTGGACTAGAAGGGCGAACCACTGGTGTTTGCGGACAACTGAGGTAAATCACGGTCACAGACAGTTGGGGTAATTGGTCGTGTAAGAGCCCGTGTACTTCTACTGTCCAGTTTGGATTGCCAACCACGGAAGTTAGGGATGTTCAAACGGGCATTCTCAAAAAGTGTTCTTTTCATTTTATAGGCACAAGGTACGTACTAGTTAAGTCTCTGGGCGACTGTTCACGCAGCTCTCCTGCTTTAGGGGGGTTCATTGATTCACCTGATATAGTGAAGTAAATGTTAGACACATAATCCGTATCATTTGATTCATCTATTCATCAGCGTAGCCATAAGGCGCACATTTTACTGACTATGCCAATGTTTTATTTTATGACTGTCAGGAAAAGACTGAATTGGCTGATCAACGTAAAGCGAAATTCCACCAACCCGAAGGCGACCACTTGACTCTGTTGGCTGTGTATAACGCGTGGAAAAACAACAAATTCTCTGCCCCCTGGTGTTACGACAACTTTATACAGGCGCGAACGCTCAAACGAGCACAAGATGTTCGCAAACAGCTTCTTGGCATAATGGACCGGTAAGTTGTGTTGCCACTTTTACTCACCTCCACCCCATCAGGCACAAACTTGACGTGGTCTCTTGTGGGAAGAAAACTGCGCTAGCTCAGAAGGCGATCTTATCCGGTTTCTTCCGTAATGCTGCAAAAAAGGATCCACAGGAAGGCTATCGCACACTGGTCGATCAACAGGTCGTCTACATCCATCCTTCGTCAGCTCTGTTCAACAGACAGCCAGACTGGTAAGTTCTGCTCCATGCCACCACTCGATTTCCCGTAGAATTAACAAACACCAGACTTCGGATCACTTACGTGTCTATCTCAATATCCAACTAAATAAGTTCGGTTAGCTGTGTGATTTTTGATAATTCCAGGGTGGATAATTCCCGGTCGATTTGGCGTGAATTCAACTAAGTTGCGAGTCGAAGTGTGTTCCTATCGATGATCGTGAAGTTGATCCAGGTGCCCTTGGATTGCAGGTAACAACTGAGGTAGTCACTCAGGCTTTCCGGGTCTACTAGATGGGTGTTTCAGCTAGTTCGATTAGCCTGACTATGTCTTTTTGGCCGCTGTGACATGCGGCAGTTAAGCAGCTAATGTTGAACCTCCCCGTCAGAAACCCGCGAAGCTCAGATTTTGCCCCTTCATCCAGACTCTTTCCTTCTCTACTCCATCAGTGACTGAATTTCTGCCTTGTCTGAACTGTTTGGAGATACACTAGCCTGCTTCGCTGTGTAGAGTCCTGTTCGCCATTTTGGGAACTGAAAGGTTGGTTAGGTTGCTTTCATCCACCCTGCTCTCCTTCCGGGCAACTCGTGTGAGTGCCGGAAGGTATTCCTTCAATGACCTTGGAGAGACTCACACGCTTCATACTCGTGTAACGGAACAGCATAGTTTATTCATGAGCATGAGGCCCCCAGAAAAATACGCCACACAAGCCATGTGGTCCAATACAAAAGCCTATTTTCGTGTTTCTACGGTACCGGGGGACTGTTTTCCGGAGAATCTTCCGGTTTGTTCACAATCGATGCACAAAGACCTACAACTGACCTGTTCGCTGGTCCTGATCCACGTGTTCTATTACCCACAACTTCATCTCCACAGGGTTGTCTATCACGAACTTGTGATGACTACGAAAGAATATATGCGTGAGGTGACTACAATCGATCCCCGTTGGCTCGTGGAATTCGCCCCGAATTTTTTCAAATTCGGCGATCCGACAAAACTATCTCGGGCAAAGAAATCGATGCGTATCGAACCTCTCTACAGCAAATTCGAAGAGAAGGATTCATGGCGAATCTCTCGCGCTCCGAGAAAGTTCCACGTCAAGGTCACATTTTGATCAAATGGAACCACTCAGAATATCTTTTGTACAGTTGTTTTTTCTGGAGTATACAACTAATCCGGCCTTTTTGTCCTCACTGTAATGTTTTAACTCTACCTTGATCTTTGCCACAAAATTGATTTGCTAAACTTTTGGTTCACTTTATTCATTTGGGATTGTTCGTGTACAGTGATGAGGAGACGCATCTCCTCGGGTCGGCGTGATCGCGTAATAAGGGAATTTAAGCATACACCGTAGTTCTTCATTTCAAATTTGACACAAAACATCCCCATATTTTCGTCGGCCAGCACTGGATGATGCTTTTTAAACCGTATTTGGTCGTTGTTAGGAGGGTGACACCCAGGAAAGTGGTTTAATACGCCTTATGTGGTGATTTCTCTCAAAAAGTAGTTTGACCTTGACTATGAATAAGTCCGAAACACTTACTAGCATATCCAAGGCTGTTCATTCCAGCTGTTTCGATTGTTTTATTGACTTAAGTCACCCAAGCAGATTTGGTGGAAAGATTTGTACTTATCAGATGGCATTGGTTACTGGTGCAATCACAGAGATCTGGTTGGGTCGGTCTACCTCATTGTCCCTGCTTTTTCTGAGAACCGGCGGGAGCATCAACTCGGTCTTTATTAATTCGGTGAAAGTAGATCAAATAGCAATTCTCTCTTTGTTACTACGTGTAACCCGCCGCACTCCTTGAATTTGCCATAACCGTCCGATTCATTGATACGGCTCGATCGGATCATGTCCGTCATGGTAGGACAACTTGGGTGACAAGAATAACATGTTGCATTCACTACTTTCCTTATTTGGTTCCCTCACGCGGTTATCTTCTCTAAGAGATCCACCGTAAGCCCTCCTCTTTTGTAAGGATTTCAATCTAGATAAGACCAATCACGAGAAACTCTTCAGTACCGCGCTTTTTAGGTTTTGGGATGTTTATCCGAAAAAGCTGAATCCACATGCAAGGTTTGCCAGTTTCTTACTTGTACCAATTTAGGTACTCGCGAACAACTAAGTTTAACTCTCCAGGTTAGGGACTAACACGAGCTTTCTGTCGAGCTCGGGGTGACTCAGTGGTTAAAACGCGACATTGGTGATCGTGCTTCGAATCCAACCACGGCATATAGGCTGCTCCCTTCTTGACGTTGGCAACCTGGCAGTACCTCGATCTCACTTATTGGGACGCTCGAAGAGAACGAACTGAGCATTCATCATCAGCAAGGTAGGAATCCAGTTAGGCTTGCTTCACTGCAAAGATATAGGTTCCGTTTTATCAAATATGATTTGATCCCCCTAGAGGGAGGTTACTTTGTGCCTCTTTTGCTTCCACCGTTGAAACCTCATGACTTTCCATGAAAATAACCTCTCAAATGACTACACCAAATCTGTTCATCTATTTAGCACCGACAGTGCTCCATAGCGCCCCATCTTAATTCAACTCATTTTCTCCCGGACTTTACTGCATTTACTTACTTTACTTTTTACGGACTTTACCCGTCAAGATAGTGTCAAGCATTCCACTATGCCATTTTAAGCAGCATAGTTCGAGGGAGTGGGGGAGGAATGATAGTTACTGAGGAAATCTCTTGTGTTTTTATTTCACCACGGCAAACAGTTGATTTGCTTTCTGCACGCGAGGGATGCCGACGACATCCACTCGTATTTTACATCGCTTTTACTTACTCATGAGTAACTAAACTTTGAAGTTTCGATTCCAGACTATTTCCCAGGCGTAGTCAAGCTGCTAAAGAGCACACCTTGGCATGCGGTCAGTCCTATAAAGATTTCAATGATCACAGTGTGGCGATGTGGCAAACCGCAATAGAAGAAAAAGCAACTGATGAACGGGGGTATTTCTTATCCGTCTGATCACCAAAAAATAATAGGCGAAACTCATTGTTCACTAGCGTTTTTTTTCAAAGCACGAAAGCATTGCGTTCTTTACTGAACGTTGACATACTCTGAAATATTTTGTATTTACAGTCCGCCCACTCATTCATGGATCACATCACACATAAAGTGGTTCTGCAACAGCTTGGTTCGTATCTGATGCTAATGATTCACATCCTTCATTCTGCCCCCCCCCCCCAACTAGCCGAAGGTTTACTGCTTTCGCGGAGATGATACAATGTACGCTAGGGGGTAGGCTCTGAACAGATTATTTGGAGTTGGGACAAGGATACCCAGCGTCTTACGATGGAGTAGGTTCCCCAATTTGTACACCGTCGTTATACTATCTTCAACTGGGATACGTTCGCTGCACATTTCGGATCAGTCTACGGTCAGAATCTGGTTGTTTCATTCAGACGCAGTGCATCTCTCTCCGGTCTAAGGGGATTAGGATCTGCGACGGTCTGGTTTGTCGTTGGACTTTACATCATTAGGCTATAAGTGCTTGATCAGCGGTGGCTAACTTATCGATAGTGGTGAAACAGCTCAGAATGACTTCACTTGCAAGGTGATATCTCAACTGATAACTTAGGGTCTTCCCACTATCTACAAAGCTGTCTTAGCAGATGTTACTCAAGATGCGTGATAGTCCCTTTTCAGGATTAATTGCCACCTGTTCATCATATAATGGCTACTTTCCTGTTAAAGCTATCCGTAAAAGCCCTATTCGTAGCTGAATCTGTCCTCCGGCCTCGAGGGAGAGTTTGACTGTTCCCTTATCCCGTGCCAGATATGCACAGAGTTCTAACCATATTCAACCAGACAGTCGAACTACCGTGCTATCCCGGTAGTATTGTCAGTGTTGATTCTTTTTGTGTACAACGTGATTCCCCGCTTTTGCTGTTTCAGTTTTGTTTTTTCCCCACGAACTTAAACCTTTCTGTGGCCTTGTCAAGTGTGTTTCGCTGTCTTGTAACCACATTGTCTTGAGTCAGTGTGCACTTTGGGATCCCGCTAGGAATCGGCGGTTCCTAAACCGGTGTACAGAAACCGGCGTAGACCCACGCTTTGAATTTTGTGCAGTTTTATTATTTTACTATTGTATTCATGGCACCACATTTGTTGAACGATTCGGCTTCTGGGGTTTTGCGCGTGGACCAGCTGATTGCTGGAAACAATCAATGGTTAGTAGGCATGAATTAACAAATGTGCGAATGAATGAGGTAGATTGTTAGTCAACTGTTAGGGTCGAACTCAGGTATGTCATATGCAAGTTCATGATGTTACCCTCACGACCTCCTTTAATGTGCAGTCAGTTAGACTTGGAGGCGCTTTGTGATCATGTTGCAGGGCCTCCGTTATAATAGAGGTGAATATCAGGTCCAGTCCAGCATCAAGTGAAAGGTGGGACTTTAGAGTACGCTAGTCTGTCGGTCTTTACAGTCCTTCCGAATCATTTTCCACGCGTTCTCACAATTATTTTGAACACGCTTCTCATTTTCCGACACGAGGATGTCAGTTTTCTGAATGCCAAGCAGTCTGATATTCATGAGCTGGCACCCACCGCTTACACTCACCCATCACGTTAGCTATTTTTTTGCGTAAATTAATAATCAAAGTCATGGGATTATAGATTTTAGTCTTTACTGGAAAGACCTCTTTCCGGAGGGTTCGCACGCTAGATCACGTCCAACGGGAAACGCCGACGTCGAACGTAGGGAGCTAAGGGATTAATGAGCTAAAAAGTTTAGGGGGGATATTTTGATCGGGCGCTTGTTCGTGAATTACGATAAATCTAGTGGACGTTGGTTTTTCGCTGACCTGGGAAGTTCCTCTAGTTTGACTTAGACGTTTTTACCTAATCTCAGAGTACAACCAATGAATCTCGTGAAGCGGAGAAAAAAATCTGTTGTCACGAGCGGACAGGTGAATACGTTCTGTTAGAACGGAACTGTCTGCTACAGAGCTGTACAGGGTATGAAGTTTCTCCCGTATACCTACTACTTTTAGAGGACTAATTTATTAATAAGACTCAATAACTGTTGCACAGTTGAACTGATGCCTTTCATGCTGTCAATAATCATCGATCGAATCAATCCGGCTCTAATCGAAGTCCGGATGTGAAACTTCTGGATAGGGGTTAACTCTTCAGCAAGAGGGCGTGCTGAGAATAAGCTTTCGATTATTTCTGGTCAATGGATGCATTCCTAAACCAATGGATGGAGAACCGTAGGAGATTCACCTCTCCTTTCACACTTCTTTCACCTTGTTTTTAAAAGGTAGGCGCATATCGCTTGTCGACAAAAGACGTTGATAAAAGTTTGATGGACGCATGGGTTTCAGTTATTATTATAGTTGTTTTTTTTGCAAGAGAGACGCATTGTATTGGTGAGCATAATCGTTTTGTACGACGGAATCCTCGAAATCAATCGACAATGCACTTCTTTCATAGTTTACCCTACTACCCGTAGTGCGCTGCTCAAACCGATGGATCTCGACGGTTGCGTTGGAGAATAGCGATGAGAGTCAGGCAGACATTTGAAGCTGAATGTGATAAATTGGTAGGATTTGAGCAGTTAGTTATCAAGACAGCTCAAGTCTTAATTCCGCTGCTGCTGTGCTTCACAAACTTACCGCATTACAGTGGTCACTATCCGGGACATCATTCCTGTCGAACAGCGAATCATGGTCACTTAATACAATCACTCCGCTTTGGATGGGTGCTTGACTTGACTTTCTAGTTCCTTCAATTAACTGGTTATTCTGCCCAACAAAGGTACTCCACTTGGCTGTATGCAATTTGAGATAGCAGTAGAGAGGGGAATGGATTTTTCAGGAGGGGGGAGGCTGGACAGTGTACCAAATGCCAATACCAAATACTAATCGGAAGATCGAGCTCCACACAGTTCAGTGGTTGAGGCGGAATCTTTTTGACCGAAATGTCCGCGTCAAGAACCCAACCTCTGCTTCTCAGCTGCTCCTGTTAGGGCTTGGGCAACCTCAGCCCTCGTGCTTCCCGCGGGTGGCATGGCAGCTGGGCACCGAAATGATTTTACAGCTGAATTCATTGGAAGGTCACGGATTCAAATCTTCCGGGAAATTCTTGGGATCTATTATGCTGACAATTCAGAATAAACACAAAACACATAAGCCATGCATTAAGTATTGGCTCCATTTTCAGGATGCAGTCAACTTGAAGCAATCAGTATCTATGAGACCCGAATGTCGAAAGCTAGATTACGCTGTATTCTGTTGTTTGACTGATCAGCTCCGCAATTGTCAGTGGGTCGCAAGCACCTATGACTACCGGCAGTGCTTCAC